ACCTGCTAATGCAGTGGAAAACTGCTCAACGTGGAAGTTGAATGGAAAAAATGAAGTTTGGTCCCCCCCATCAACTCTTTGTCTTCATTTCGTCAGTATTTTTGTGACAGTGATTTTTTTGTTGAGTGATAACAGATTTGCTGTCACAGTATATGCTGCCCGTTGTATTTCAGTGTTCATATTAAACTGTAGTTTAAACAGAAGAAGGAAAAAGTTATTTGTTCTTTATTTTGCTTTGATCTGCAGGACAGCCTAGCCTTGCAGCCATTGCTTTCTCATAGAAAATCCAGTCTGTTTGGGGAGGAACCAGTTCATATTCCAATGTTAATCTTGAAATTCTAAGCTTTAAATTTAGATAAAATAAACTAACTGAATGAGAAATAATTTAAATTAATTGAAACTATAAAAGATTGGCGTCCCATAAGATACTGCACGGTCCAGGTGTGTGCAAAGGGGTGAGAAGTCAGGACACCTCAAGCGCCCTCTAGAATTTGCCGTTATCTCAGTGTCACCCACCAAGTCCTTTAACCTCTTACTTCTTGCGTTGTTCCTAATTCATATAGAAATGATCTAAATCATGAAATTATTCCATGGCTTAATTAGAAGTGTGAAAAAACTAGTTCCTCTGGGGTAAATGATAATATGGTCAAAGCTTTCAGAAATACGTTGTTGCTGCACATGTATTTTGGCAGCTAAAGGTGGTTTCATTTTGCAGAAGTTTCTCATTTACCCATTTCCACCACTGTCCTACTTCCTCAAAGCCATGATATTCTTTTATTTGTTTGCTATAATCTCTGGGCAGGACAAGGAAAGTTCCTGAGGGATTTTGAAGCCCTTCTTCAGAGAGGCTAAGAGGGATCCCTGGGCATGTTGGAAGGGTTGAAATTACCTCTTTTCCATCTGAAAGGAATGGGACATCCCAACCATTGCAGACACCTTTAAAATCATAACTTCTAATCAATTAACCTCTTTCCCATATTTTAAAAAAGCCCATAAATCTATATCAGAGTGTGAAAGTACTTTTTGGTCCATATTTTTGGGGAGGAGGAGAATAAAACTCCCCCAAAAATTTTCACAGAGAAACAGCCTCCTTGGTATTTCACAGAATCAAAAAACCCTGTTTTCCTGGGTCCTTCACAGAAATCCTTTTTTTCCCATGCATGAGATTTCAGATAAAACCTCATGATTCAAAATTCAGGGTTGACCATGAAGGTTTATGAGTCTCTTTTAGGCTCAGTGTGATAACAATGGAAATACAGGCACATATGGGGCAGGCCTTGGGAACATCGTGTCATTATAAACACCATGTGGTACCTGCTAGGAGAGGTGGGGTTTTAATCCAGAACCCTCTCTGAGCTGCAGACCTGTAGTATTTTGGTTTTCCAACATCTCCTATATTGTTTTTTTCCTTTTTTATTGTGTAACACTGTTTGATGATGTTTAATGGAAGTGATGCCCTTGAAGCAAAAAGTCCTGTCATGGTGATCGTGTAAAATGCAGTATTTTCAGAAGCCAAACTTCTTTACAGAACTTTGTACACAATTAATTTTTAACCCTCAATAAGGAACTGTAATAAATTCTTGGAGATAAGCAGTTTCCTTCATTATTCATGATTTTAAAGGCCATAATAATTCTTTTTAGGGGAAAAATTCTCTTTTAGCAAGCCTGCCATGCTGGTAGTTCTGGGAAACTTTTTTGCAGAGGTGGGGAATTTGCTGTAGGATATATTGCAGTTAGCAAGAAAACAAGCAGCCTTGTCTTTCTGACTTTCTCTCTGTTATTTATCTATTCATGTGTGAGCCAGGGGGGGTTTAGTGGGGGCTGGACTGAGCCATTAAGGGTGGATGAATTCAGCTGCATGTTTGAAATGATGGTAATTGCTTGCCCATCTATTCAGTATAATTTTTGACTCCTTCCTGACTCCAGCAGACTGCAGGAGTGTCTTTGCTGCCTTTCCCTTGCTCCTACCATTTCTTTCTTCTTGCCTTAAGCCTCTGAATCTCTGTTTAAAACTTCGATCCCTATCTGCATCTGTTCCCTCCCTTCTCTTTCCTTCCAGCACTTCATTTTGTGCATTGACTTGTTGCTCTGTGAACACAGGAGCATTTACAGTGCCCAGGATAGTGCAGGCTAACTCCCATCTGCCTCCTCACATCCCCCTCCTGCCTTCCCGGCAGATCCACCCCAGCTCTCCCCCCTGCATTGCCCGGGGGCTCTTCCCAGCACCAGCAATTTTATGCCATGGCCTCATATAAAAATCAATGTAAAATTGTGTCCTGTCAGTGCCCAGGGTTGACATGTGAGCAAACATTTTAGCTGAGCTTCAGCTTATTTCATGCTTTAATGAGAAAGGTTGTTAAGGAGATATGGCATCGGGTTTTATGAGTATCTCAGAGTTCCCCCAAAAAATTTCATTTAAATTCACAGGGGCTTTTTCCAACCATGTGAAATCCATGTCTGTCCTGGTAAGTGGAGAAAGAAATCCAGCAAAATGATGAAGCCAGCTGAAATAGAGTCATTACCCAAAGCTGGCTTTCTTGTATAGAGAGATATAAAGGGATTTCCATTATTTTGTTGTCTGAGAACAGCAATGAAATCCAGATTGAGATGGGAGCTCCCTGTGTTTTCATAACATCGTAAACACTGGGAGAGCTGTGTGATCAGCAAAGGACTGGTATGCTTATGCTGCTTCTCACAGCATTTAACTGAAGGCAAAAAGCCTGTTCAAGACACAGGTGGAGTGAAGTGCAGTGCTGAGAGCTTAAGCAGATGGGACTGAAGGGGTTCATGAAATATCACTGGGAGCAGCCCGGTAAATTTCTGAATGCTTTGGTCTGTAACCAAAACTGGTAAGCACTGAGAGGTCTTAGGGCTTCCCAGCAAAAGGATTTTACTGCATTTCTGGTCTGGCTGTCCCAGGGATGAAGGTCAGGATGAAAACCTCATTTGGTGAATAAAATTACTGGGACTGTTGATAAGAGGAGAGCAAAGAACAGGTCGTTAAAAATGCTTTGGGTGGCTTATTTTTGCAAGCCCTTTGGATCAGTTGGGTGGATCCTAAATTGGAGCCCATGATGGTCTGATGTGCTGTGGTAGATCATACTCAAAGCAGGAAACAGTGAATCATTCTGGTACTCAGTGGCATAAATGTGGTCATAGTCTGTCCTTCTCAGTAAAAATGGTGCAAAATGTTCTTGGTTCAGGGGTTCACTGCCCCATGTAGACAATCTGTCAAACATCTGCTGTAACAGTGTACAAAAATCTTTCTTCATACATTCTTAAATTTCCTATCACTATTTCCCTATCCCTGCTGGCTGCAAAAGCATTTCTGGATAAGCAAGCACTTTTTTTTCCAAAGCAACATTCTCTTCCTTTTGCTTATCCACTTATCCAGAGGCTTAATGATTCATTTGGCTGTTTTGCAACTCAGGAACTGATGGTGAGGTCACAGCCGCCTGGTTGTGTCATCGAAGTGCATGACAAAAAAGGAGGAGGCTGGCCAGGAAAGGAAATGCTTTTGTTTATCCACAAACATCTAGATAAGCAGAAGTTGTGGCTAATGAAAGCCAGGGAAACTTGGTAGTAGCAAAATGAGGCTGTGATCAAACATTAACCTTTTAAGAGCAGGTTGGATGCTCAGCATGCTCCTGGGAATTTATCAGAGAGCTGTGAAGGAGAACAGAATAATATGCTAATGGGGGGGGGATGGGGAGGAATTATAAGAGAAAGCGTATTTTTATTTTGTAGAAACAAAATATGAACCTTGGTGGATCAGAGAATTAAAGAAGGGTTTGAGTGGGAAGGAATTTTAAAGATTCAATACCATACCATGGGCAGGGACACCTTCCACTAGACCATGTTGCTCAACCTGACCCTTCAGTTGTCATCGGGTTAGAAAAGTCCTTGGATCTGATCTTGCTTGGACAAAGTGGGTGCTTCAGGAGGAGGTTTTGGTGAAAAAGAGCAATGATTTGCTGTTCCTCATCCAGCCAATGCTCTCTCCTGCCCAGTACCTTGCTGCTAAATCAGTAACAAGTTCCAGAATATAAGCATGGTCCAATGTAGCACAGCAAAGTCCAGAGCAGCAGTGTCTGAATGATGCTCAAATGCTCAAAAAACTCTTAAGAAAAAAAATAAATGTGTATATAGCACTGACTGTAACACTTTCCTGGCCTCTTCTCAGTCAGGTCCAGATGCTTTGGAGGAAGCATTAAGAGTGCAAGAAACAATACACTATTATGAAATAACCTAATGAAGGAGAGGCACTGCCCACTCTTGGCAATTAGTGACTGGCTGCTGTGATGATGCTTCTTTATTTGTGTAATCCTCTCTGGGGTAACCATAGGGAGGCTGCTATTAAGGCCAACGTTTGGATTTGTGATTTAATCTAATTCTTTGGCTTTAGTGGTTACACACATCAGTTTGTGTTGTGGAATAACTCTGTATACACAGAGAAATTCTGACGCTGCTTCCCCGCCTGCAGTCAGGGTTGAGCCAACGGTGAGGAGACGCTCTGGGCTGCCAGGGAGGACCAGAGTGGGGGCCCTGACCTCTTGTGGTGACTGAGGAACCCAGAGCACTCTTGGCACTGGTGTGTCTCAATCCTAGGGACTTTGTGCTGCTAGGTGAATTAAACCTGCAAAAACCTTGGAAAGGAGAAAACTACATCATCCACCTAGCCAGCAGCCAGGCTGTGGTCCATGCCCCTGTGCAGAAATGGTACTTTCTCATTTTCAGGCTTTGCTTATATCTCTGCTGGACTATGCTTTTTTAATAAAGTTGTATTTGGTAAGCCTTTAATGTTTTGTCTGACTGTAAATGTCTGCATATGTTTGTAAAGGCAAAGCAACATGCTCATCATGCCACTGCTGTGATCAGCAAGAGCAGCTTTCAGAAGACACCAGAGCTATATTTGATGGTTGTGTTTCAGTGAACAGCTTTCAAAGAAAAGGCACCACTTTAAACCATGGCTTTTCCTTTTTTTTTTTTTTTTTTTTCAGGGGTGCATTCTCCGAAGTTGTTTTGGCTGAAGAGAGAGCGAGTGGGAAACTCTTTGCAGTCAAGTGCATTCCCAAGAAGGCACTGAAGGGAAAGGAAAGCAGCATAGAGAATGAAATTGCAGTGCTCAGAAAGTGAGTATCAGACCTTCATTTCTGCCTCTTTGCTTCTGTTAGACTCTTGCATTTAAGGAGCAGGAACAGTGACTGACAAATGTGAATGGTAGTTTGTTCAGCCCGTCACAGGCAGACAAGATGACCTGAGTTTAAATGGTGCTGAAAATATTTTGAGGAATGCTCTGGTTTTCTTTTGTGTTAAGGCAACCAAGTGACTGCAAAGGGGGAAAGAAGAGGAGTTAGACTGCAGTAAAGTCTTTGATGCCTTAGGAAGTCCTTATCCACTAATAATATCAGCAGTTGTGTCAAGGGCTTTGAGGAGAGTAGGAGCAGGTTATAATTTTCAAATGCAAAAATCATTCTGTATACTAACTGCTCTGAAATTATGACCTGCTATGGGTTTTCATTGGAGATAGTGGTAACCTGTGCCATGGAGAGGTACCTCTGCCACTTCTAGAAGGAGATTTCTCAGGGTTGTCCACAGTGTGAAGTTTTTCCTCACTGTGGCTGGAACACATGGATAAGGAAAAGGCATTTCACAATTGCTGTGAACTCACTGTAGTCATTAGAGGCTTGATCCTTACCTCTCCCTCATCTTATGCCCTGAAGGTGGGATTCATCTCACCAGACCCGAGACATTTGGCTCTGAACTCATCGCCCTTGGCTTTTTTTCTGGGAAATGGAGAGCGATTGGTCACTGCAGGATTAGTTCATGTAGTTTGTTTTAAACTTCTAAAAGTACCTTTACCTTCTCATTGAGTTAAAGGTAGTACAATTATGTAGAACTCCATGTTGGACTGGAACATTGATTCTTGCTGCACTGCTGTCCCAAGTGGGACTTCTTGTCCCAGCTTTTGGTCATATCAAAGCTGATGGATGATCATGTGGGCACCTGTGACAAAAGAGATCCTGAAATCTACCTGGATGAACTGAGTGCTCAGAGAGCCTAAGCCAAAGGAGCTGGTTCAAGGGCAAATTCAGTGACCTCGGTAGACAGAGGGGATCCTGTTAAGTGGAGGGACATAAACAGGGCTCCAAAGAGCTACAAGTATTTGCAGCAGTTGCTTTTCCATTGCTGGGTCCACCTCAGGTCAGTACAACATAAACCCAGCGACAAACACAGCCTGTTGTCTTGCTGTGTAGTGTTATTGAGTGTTATTTATCATAAAACTCAACCATTGCTGCCTCCATAACCCGATAATTATGACCAATAACCACAGGTTGAAAAAGTCTTTATGTGTATGGATTTGTCCCCTGGTACTCATGCGTGGGGTGGAAGAGCAGTAATATTGACATGCAGTAAGAATTGCCTTGCATCAGCCTTGAACCTAGGCTGGTAAAGCAGAGAAATCATTTATATTATTTCTTGCTTCTTTGTTGTGAAATTTTTCTGTTCCCTGCAAACAATTTCCTGAGAAACCAGGAGGCAGCACCCGGGCTCTGCTATTCCAGCTGCAAGGGCAGGAGAGTGAGTGGGTGGAAAATTCCTTAATTTCAGGCAATTAGATCTACTCAGTCTCTTGTCCTATGCATGTTAGGACCTTAAAAGAGATTTTCCAATTTTCCTTTTTTTTTTTTTTTTCCTCTTGGTGTCTTCTACTTAGCTGTTGCTAATACAAACTTTGCATGCCATTGTCTTTATTCTGAAAATAGACATCCTTGCTTGCAGATGCAGAATTGAATTTGTATGTGCCACCAAGGAAACATTTAGAAAATAACAAACTAGATCTGCCTACAGTTGAGGAGAGGGGATATCAACCTGTTTGTTTCTCTGTTCAGTGAATTCTCTACTTCAAAAGCTGTCAGTAAAAATAGATTTGAGAGAGGTTGAATGGATCCTCAGCATCTGTTGCTAAGCTCCAAAGGTATCTAAGATTCCTTGCTTTTGTTTCTGGTAGCTTAACACTGAGTGGGGAAGGCAGATTTGTGTGTTGTCTGATGACTGGGTGGGATATCAGAGCCCTGGGCGGCCCTGCATGGCTGTGACACAGCCTTAATATGTCATTAAGAACCTCTTCTAAAGAGGATGTGCACAGAGCATGCCTGGCAGGAGGAATTGGTTGCTGTACCCTGAGGAGGGCGAGGAGCCGAAGGGGATGGATTCACAGCAAACATAAATATGTGCCTGTGTTGATCCTGGTCTCCCTTTCTGGTTTTGCATTATGTCTTCTGAGGGTGCTCAAACTCTGCTGGGATAAAAGTCCCAAAGGTCAGCCTGCCTAGCTAAAATGCTGGTGAACTCCTTCTGATCCGTCAGAGTGGGATCTCTTGTCTGACACTGGACTTTCTCCTCCTATGTTCAATCATTAGATTTTTGCCTTCCTCCTGATAACCTCTGTGCTTTCTGGCAGACATCTGCCAAGTGTTGTGAAAGTCAACTCTCGTTGAGTTCTCCTGGTTGTGTGTCAAATGGGGTCTGCTGAGTGATCAGTACTTGCAAATGCCACCTATACTTTGCATCCTCTGACTGTGCTGGTGAAGGTTTGTCACCCTGCCAGTCCTGCCAAATCATTCAGATCTGGCAGAATCGATATGGAATAAAGTTCGAATGATGTTGTGTGTTGAGGTCATATTTTAAATAACATCTTTAAAATTCAGGATTAAAAGTCTGGTCATGGAGTACTATAGGCAGTAGACCCTGGTGATGAAAGCATGAATCCAGTGACCTAAAGCCTTGGGTCCCCTCTCATCTCTGCTGCTTTCTTTCTGTCACAGGAGTTATTGTCTGTCTCAATATTAATTGTCTGTGAAACAGCCTCTATTCAAAGAACTTTTGAATAAAGTTTTACTTGAATTTATTTTCCTGTCCTTTCTTGTGTCAGCAGACACAGAATGGGTGTGACAGGGGAGGTTTCTGATCTGGGCTTTTAGTGTGAAACAAGAACTTCTGTCAGTCCTTCTATGTGCCTGAACTAAAAAGCTGTTGGAAGTATTAATCCAATACTCTGTGTAGGGGAAGGTCAGTGATCCCCATGCGAAGTACATGGAAGGTAGGAGATGTTATTTCTCTGTCTGTGGGCTTGGATGCTCTTGCTGCCAACACAAAATGACACATTTTAGAAGTGATGTTCTGCTAACAGAGGAGAGAGCTGCCAGCCAACTGATCTGCATGTTTGTGTGAGTGCCAGAGTGAATCATGCATACTCCATAATTCTGTTTTTCCAGCCATGGCCAACAAATCTGTTCTTAAAAAAGAAAAGAGGCGGAAGAGCCGTTAAGTCAATATTTACGCCTAGCAACCTTAACAGGGTTCTTCCAATATGGACTCTTTTGTGTCCTGTGGAAATCCATGGCAACATTCCCCGAAGACTCGGATGGGTGGGGACAGAGTGGGAAGGAGCTCTCTGTTGAGTGCTGTGCTGGGAGAGACTGAGTCTGCAGTTAATCCAGAAGCCTGAGCCTGACAAAGCATTTAAGCATGTGTCTAATTTTAGAAAATTATTGGTTCCAGTGAAATTGTTGGGGAGGCTGAACCCACCTTGCTGAGCTCAGGCCTAAAAGAAGGCTTCAGAGCAGGGTGAGTGTCCCACTGAGCAGCTGTGTTTGGTAGCACAACTCAGGAGAGGAGTCTTCTTAGTGTCTTCAGTTAAGACATGAAGACATGGAAAACGTACTATGGTTTAGAATCTGCTTCATGAAGAAAATGGCATCTCTAGAACAGGACTATCACAGCTCCATTAACCACCTGGCTGTGGGGAACAACAGCACACAGTCGCCTTTGTGTGACACAGACTTTTTCTGACCTGGCATGTGGGGAGTTTCATAACCTGCCCTGAAAACAACCGTGTTCTGGTTTTGAGCTGAAAGAGAAATGTAATCCTTTCTATTGTTTGCTGCAGAATAGTGGAAATTTCTTCCACTTATGGTAATTGTGCAGGTGTGAACATGCTGAAAGAGGAATCATCTGCTAGACGGGTTCCTGCGGGAAGTACGTGGTGTGAAGAGTTGGGCTGTGGAGAAGCAGCAGTCTGAGGCTCTAGTTAAATAGAAAAAAAAATAGAAAAACAATGCTTGTAAGAGTCAGAGAGAAACATGCCTGATTTGCTTGTTGGTTTTATTCTGGTTTGGTTGGTTTTTTTCTTAGCTACACCATTATTTATCAGCAGAAACTCTCTCTGTTACCGTGGGTAATACCTGCACGATCGTGCAGACTCAGTGCTGAGTCAGAGCAAAGCAAAGGAAGGAACTATAAACTGTGTGTAGCCCTGCACCCAGGTGTATTGATTGCTTAATGGTAGTAATGTGCACATGGAAGTGCCTTGTTAAGCAATACTGTTTATCTAGCAAATCATACTCTGCTTTAGGCAGTTTCTGCTGAACAGGGATTTTAAAAATAATTTCTAAACTACTTAGGTATCTCTTATGCTCTCCCACTCCTCTTTACTCTCCTAGATCCTCTGGAAGAGGCATCATTAAATTCCTTATTACAAATCATGCCTTATTGGGGTCTGAAGCTACTTTTCCTGTGAAGCAGCTTGAGGGAACTGTTCCTAGCAGGTCAGCTAAAATTCTGCCAGCGCTTTCCATTGTTGTTTCATCAGAAGACAGCGGGATGGGGTGTTCATGCAGTGATTCATGCCCTGGCTCTGCCTCACTCCTCATATGCCTGCACCTACAGCCAGGAGCTGCTGCTGTAAGAAGGAGCAGGGAGAGAGGAGAGGAGGCATCCTTCTGCAAGATCTGGGAGCTCAGGGCTTTACCCATCACAAAGCTGAACAAGGAGCAGCAATGAAAAGGTTTCCTAGTGTGGGTGAAAGTGTGGAAGCTCCTGCTCTCACATAAATCAAACGGTGGTGAAAGTGCAGTACCTGGTGTTAAGGAGGACACTCTTGATAACAAATGGGGAAGAATCACACCTCCTCAAGATTTACATGAAGGCTAAAAGGATAATTAAATAAATTGAACATTTTTACTCCTTTTCAGCAGCCCATTGACAAGTTCCCTGTAAAACCTCTCTGCCCCAGATTCTTGTCTCTGTAAGGCCCCATCCCTCCGGAGCTAACCCCATAGCCTCTGGG